GCCGCCCTCCCACGAAGTGCTTTTGGGGTGCGCTCTGTCCCTGCCCAGCCAGCTCTGCAGCCCTTCAATTATTCACACCCATCCATCTGTCTCCGTACACCCTCCTCCGCTGTCTGTCCATCCATCCGTCCATCTAGCCATCCGTCCATCCATCTCCATCCCCTCAAACACCCGCATCCGTCCATCTGTCCCCGCGCACCTCCTCCACCGGTCCCCGTCCCCATGACGGGTTTTTTAGTGATATTACAGCCCCAGTAAGAGGCTCCGGGCAGGTCAGTGGCCATAGCTGGGATTTGGGTGAGCAGACCTCCTCTAGGCTGCATGGGACAAGGAACAGCATCCCATGGGTGCCTGGATCGGTGACACCCCCAGGACCCGGACCTCAAGGTCGGTCACAGCCAGCTGGGTGACACGGAGAAGCCCCCCCGCAGCAGGGAGCACACAGGTGATGCTGTGGTGGCCAAAACTGCCTGCTCTTTGTAAATCAACCCTTGGCAGTAAAAAAAAAAAAAACCAACCCAACATATTGGTGTCCTTCAGTTCCTAAAAACCTCCCTGCTCCCTGTGTGCCGCTCTCCTCTGCTCTGGCGTTTCCAGCTTCTTGCAGGATGACTCTGCCTGGCCTCCTGCCCAGCCCAGACCCCACGGTGATGGGAGTTGGAAATGTCACAGCCTGTCCCTCAGCCTGGCGAGGTCCCCGCCTTGGTGTGTCAGCACCAGAAATGCTCTTTGTGGGGCTCACTGGAAAAAAGAAGTGGTTTTCTGGTGGCGTTGGGTAAGGGAGGGGAGCTGGAAATGGCCCAGACGTGCTGTCGCTGGCCCCCAGGGTGGCTCCTGAGGCCAGGACGGAGGAGAGATGCCTTCTCTCTCCAACTTTATCCACTGCACAGTGGATCTGGCTTTGTGTCCCGCCAACGCCAGGCATTTCCTCACCCCTCCGGGCTCTGTAGGCATTTTTGGGATTCCCCATAGCAATGCTCGGGTCCAGCCTTTCCCACCACTGTGGCCATTCGAGCCCCCCAGCTCCCGATGGCTGCGCAGGCTCTTCCCTTGGGTCACATCTTCCCCTCCAGGCAGAAAAGCACCCAGGGCTGAGCGCAATTCGGCTGGATTTCGTCTTGAAAACCAAATTATCAACCTCCTGAGGATGCCTGAGGTCGGCTGCTCCCGGCCGGCTCGGGCTGCTCCACTGGGCAGCCAGGAAGGGTTTTAAGGAAAGTCCCTCATTCCCAGCCTTGCCTTTCAAGAAGATTAAACCGAAGCCAAAGCTGCCGTTCGTTCTCCGGCACAGAGAGGAAGGAACACATGTGCAAACCACATGGCGATGGGTTTGCCGGCCAGAAAGCCGTGCTGGAGCCAGCTGGGGACCGGGCAGGATGCGCCCGGGACCGTGGGGCATGGGATGCCCACCCGCAGATCGGATGGGCAGGGAGGGAAGCGATAAGCCAAGCATCCCTCTCTGTTTTTAACGCACCGATGAATGAAAACGGGGCAAAGCTGTCTGCAGACATATGGCGGGGCTGGGCACAGTGGGGGGAGCAGCCCCGGTCTCGCGCAATTAATTTGCCTTTGCCGTTCTGCCACAGCAAGTGGCAAACCCAGCTGCTTTCCTTGGCCCCTTTGATAAATCCCTCCACCCCGCAGGGGTGTGTGCTGTGGTCTCCCACCACGGGATGCCCTTGCCGGGGACACAGGGCTCAGGGCAAGCAGTCCCCGAGCCTCCCTCCCTGCCACCACCCCGAACACGGGTGCTGCACGACAGCCTGGTGCCACCGCGGGAGTCACCCCGGGAAAAAGCCGGTACCGGTGATGTAAAGCCGAGTCTGGCAGAAGGAGACGGCCGCTCAGCTGGGCTGCATCTGCACGAGGCTGGGCTGGCAGCCAGCAAAGGTAAGTGAAAACTTCTGCTCCCATCCTAACCCTCCGCGGCTCCTTTGGTGAAGGGTCTCGCTAGCGCTTTTCATTAAATCCCCCGCATGCTTTTTTTTTTTTTTTCCCCTGTCCCAAAAAAGGTTGTGGCCCTTTCCTGGCTCCATGAGATGACAAAAAGCCTCTTAAAAGTCTGCTGTCGCCTCTTGGAATTAAAACCAAAGGCTCCAGGGGTTTATTTGCTGGGGGAGCATCCTTTAGGCTGCCGGTAGAAGACGGCACTCTCTGCCGTATTGCAACCCCTAAGGTCAACCAAAAGCTACATCCACCTGCAATCAGCTCTGTGTGCCAGAGTGTGGCCGGTCACGCTCCTGGGGTGGCTCATGAACATTGGGGGGGCCCAAAATTGTGTCTCAGCAATGCTGCCCGTCCCGCTCTGCCACGGCGGGACGATGCCACAGGGGCTGGCACGGCACCGGCCGTCGGCAGAGCTGGGTTTGCCTTGTTGAGAGGAGGTTGGGGACCGGTTTGGCTGCAAGCTGCCCATTTGTAATAAGAAAAAGAGCTTCTGGTTTTCTTGTTGTCTCCCAACCTCCCTTCAGGCTGGGGGGGGGGTCAGGCACGGGGGGGTTCCCTGCCGGAGGGGCAGCGGGGGGCTGCTTGGCTGCCAGCACCCAGGCGGCATCGCTGCCTGGGAGAGAGACAGTCATGCGCCAGCATGCCTCCTCACCCCTGAAAAAGGAAGGTTTAATTAGCCAAAGCCCAATTACAGCTTGGTGAAATATTGCATTAAGTCCCTCTCAAGGACAGAGCATGGAGCATCCTTGGAGCGACCATCTCTCCCCCTCGTTATCTTTTTTCAGGCTCATCCAGGTCTTCCCCCAACCACTTCCAAAGTATCCGAGCAAACCCAGGTGATGTTTTCCCCCCTCTCTTACCACCCACGAGGAATCACCAGAGCCCCCAGAAATGGCACAAGTTAAACACTCGGTGTGAGCTCCTACCTTCAAACTTTTTATTGATTTTACTAAAAAGCATAGGTAATTACTTTCCCGACAAAGACAGTAACACAGTAATGGTAAGTTATAAATAACGATGAATAAATAATACACATTGGGAAAATATCATCCCGACTGTTCACAGCCAGGGCTGAGAGCATAAATAAAGGACTGCAAGGAAAAGCCTGCGGGGAGCAAAAGGGCCCCTGCGACCATGGGCTGGGACCATTTTCGGAGCAGGGGATGGGTCCTAGTGGGTGGCAGAGCCCGGCTGCTGCGGGGGTAGGTGAGGGAGACCCTGCACAGCCCATGTTGTGCTGGGAAAAGTCCCTTTTGAAGGGGAAAGGGAGGAAATTTGGGGTGGAAATCAGGATTTGGGGTTATTGGTGCTGACTTCAGCAAGGGGTTTCACTTCACCGGGAGACATCGGAGCTTTCCTCAACAGACGGTCTCTGTAGGGTGGAGAGGAATTTGTGCCAATAAGGCACGCTTTAGAACATTCATTGTATTTTTTTCAATGGAAAAAGATAGAAGAGGGGAAGAAATCATTTTGTTTGAACTCTCTAGGCCAGCTTTGCTGAGAAATTTCTACCTTGGGCCACTTGGCAAAAGCCAAGCCCACGTCTAGAGAGCAGGAAGCCGAGGGCTCCCGCAGTCCTTGAGCCCCTGGTTCTCCTTGAAATCGATGGGATTTAGGCACTTAAAAGCTTTTAAGGATGGAGGCCAAGGTCGGCTCTCGTGCAGCAGGCGCACAGGCGTGCTCTTCCCTCCCAGCCTCTGCTCGGTGCCTCTGCCAGCTCCAAAACCACCCATTTGTTCTCCGTGACGGAGGGATGGGAAGATCAGCTCCATCTCGAACCGCAATTTAAAAACTGCCGAGCATCTTCCCCAGCTGAAGCGTAGTAAACACCGGGCAGCTCCGGGCTTGTACACCCACGGCAGAGTTTTACCATTCAGGGGAAAACTGCTCTCTTGATTTAGACAGCCGGGGAGGGGCCGCCGTTAATACCTCCCCCTTTTCCCTTACTCAAGCCTTGTGCCTGCTTATACGATCTGCTTCAGATGCAGCCTGTGAAAAATGGGGAGTGCTCTAAAAAAATCAGCATCCGTGCTTTGCAGGGAGTTATTCCCATGGGGATGGGGCGCAGTTATTCCCGTGGGGACGGGGCTCGGCCGGACCACGGCATCCAAACCAGGTGGTTCAGATGTTGCCCTCCTCCCGCCTTGGGGTGGGAAATGATGCCGTTCCAGTGCAGGCTGGGCCAGGATCAAGCCGCAGCCCTTTGTACGTACTGGGATGGTCGCAGCCCACTGGTGTTGGTGGTGCTGGTGCAGGTGGATCGGGGAAGGATGACTTGTCAGCGCTGGGGACGTGCGCGGCAGTGGGGGGGACTGAAGGGCTCAGGGATACGTGGGGCACGTGGCCGGGCACTACGTGGGTCGGGGCTGCGGGGCCACCCCGGTGCTGTTTGGGGGCTCCTGAGCAAAGATTTCATTTGGGTTTTGGCCCCCAGACACCCCTGAGGTGTGGATGTGGCCCAAAACTGCCACTGGGCACCTACTTGGGGGAAGACTCAAAGTACCCCAAAAGCACAGCTCCGGGGTAGGAGGGATCCAGCATTCCCCAGCCTCACAAAAAAACCGATTTCCATTACTATCAAAGTGTCCCAATCTGGTTTTGATTACACTCCTTGATTTCCATGCCTGTAATTTCTCCTAATGCCTCTCTCCATCCTCCCCCCCACCCTCCACTCCTTTTTCACTTGCTAATCCCCAGCCTGGCGGCTCCCAGCCTCCCTCCCTTCCCTTTTTTCTTTCTTTAACTGTCTTTCCAGCATGATCCATCACCCTCACTGCAGCAGGGGGGATTCATGGCAGTGGCTGAGATGA